CGTATTACGTATAAGTAAGTATACTAGGTAGGTACGTACGTTACTACTACTACTACTATATATATATATATATATATATATATATATATATATATATAAGATACTACAAAACACCTATAGGTGAAAAATGAACAGTGATTTCGCCTACGCTCATCACCGTCCAAAATTCATCACACAGTCACGATTGTCCGGTAGTATTTTTTTTTTTCATTTTTTTTTTACAAATCGAAATAATCTAAAATTTGGAGTGTGTGTTCATAAAAAATAGGCGAATCTATGAAAAATTTCAAAAACATATTTTACATGAAATAAATTATCAAAATACCCCCGAAAAGTTTCAGAGGTATTTTGGTCAATTTTCTGTTTTGTAAATTATTTTTTTTATATTTTTATTAGGTGCGCCTCACTAAGATGTACACATGCTCCAAATTTCAGATCATTTCGATTTATAGAAAAAAAAATAAAAAATAAAAAACTACCGGACAATTGTGATCGTGCAATGAACTTTGGACGATGATGAAGGTAGGTGAAATCACTATTCATTCGCCTATAGACGTTGAGAAGACTTTTCATACGTTGAGAAGATTTTTTCATATATATATATATATATATATATATAAGATTGCAACCTTAAACAATCCACTTAAGGTGCACCTTAAAATTTATCATAACATTTAATTTTGTTGTAAAAAATTCTTAGTATTATCTTAAAATCTATTTTCACACCTAATTAGAAAATTTTAAAATATAAAATAGTTAAAATTAAGTAGATCTATAAATATACAAAAATCTTGAAAATGGACTGTCTAGACAATGTGTTGCAAGATGCACTATTTTTGGTACTCAAAAACCTTTTTTTTCATATTCATACATCTCGATGTCGAGATGATCTGTTTTTTCAACATTAAAATAACATTTTCGATAGATTTTTGAGGTGCATGTGTGATTCTACATTTTAAGGTTGCAACCTTATATAAACTTTTCCCATATTTATATATATATGGCGCACCTCAAAAATTGTTTCGATGCTGAACAATCAAATTAAGGGGTACCTAAAAAATTGTTTCGATGCTGAAAAACCGTCAATTTGAGAATCTCAACTTCAAGATGTATGGACATGAGAAAAAATAGATTTCAAGTCTTGGAAATAGTGCATCTTATAATGTATTATCTCGGCTGTCAATTTTCAATATTTTCAAGTATTCATAGATCTGCTCAGTTTACACTATTTTTTAATCTTTTAAATTTTATAATTATATATGAAAATAAATTTTCAGGTCCCCCACAAAGATTTCTGATACTGAAACAACATGCTTCGGCGTTATTTGAAGGTGCGCCTTGCTTTCATTGGTTAGGGCCCCAGCCTTATACAAACCACACCCTATATATATTTGTATATTGTCTATTTAGAACTTGATAGCATAAAAACTGACTTATTAATGCAAAGTTTAACATATTTCTAACTAAATGTGAGGTGGTGTCAACACCTTGTATCTCGGCCATGAGCACCCAAGCTTTATCCAAATACTCTCACTTTGCATAACATGCTATCATCACATTCCATGACACTGGTCTCTCTCCAAATTCTCACAAGGAATTCCATGAACCTCTGATCAAGACCTATAATTCCCATACAAACCAAATAAATGAGCAACTCACACAAATATCATAATATGCAGTGAGTTTTTATCAAACTGGCTGCAATTATCATAATTTGCAGTCAATTTGATTATGGCCTTCATACTTTGAATATGAAGGCCATAATCAAAGCATATATAGAGCAAAGGCCATTAAAAAATAGGCACTAGAGATAAGCTATTGGGTTCTCCAACATGTTGAAAAATAGGCGAACTGCCTCGAACTTGCATTCATGGTGAGCTAGTCCACTGTTTAAGATTGTCATACTCTAGAATATCCATGCACAGAAAGGAGCAGGGAGAAAATGAATGCCTCAAGAAGTTGCTGAGATGACAACCCAGACTTTGAGCACATCACATGCCACATGGAGGGACATGCAAGTCAAATTTTTATGGGTGAGGCCATCTGCCAATGCATTTACATCCCTAAATACATGACAAAAAATACAAATGCCGCTTTAAATTGATAGTTACAGGCATATGTTTATGAATCCAGTATGATTCCTTTGTCAATCATTTCTTATTGGAGCATCATAGCTACGTTCAACTTATCTGTCTTGCAACACCCATCAAGCTATGCTTGTAAGTCACCAAATCAGGCATGATCCCTCTCTCTATCATTTTGTGCAATAGTTCTTTGGCATCACTCAGTCGGCCTTCTTTACAATATCCATCAATTAAAACAGTGTAAGTTTGAGTATCTGCCTTTTCACCATATTTTATCATGGTATCCACTAATTCCATGGCTTGCTTGGACCTTCCATCTTTACATAAGGCATCAATTAACACAGTACAGGTGACAACATTAGAACAAAGCCCAATTTCTAGCATTATACTGAACATTTCTGTTGCTTCCCGTAACATTCCATTCTTGCAAAGTCCGTCAATTATAGAAGTGTAACATATTACATCGAGGGGTATTCTCTTTTCAAGCACTTGAAGAAATAATTCCATTGCGACATCTAGAAAGCCCTTTTTGCAAAGACCATCCATAAGCATACCATATATGACAGCATCTAAGTTCATGTCATTGAGAGAAATCTCATCTAACAAAGCCATTGCCTCCTCAATTCTTTCCTCCTTGCAAACCATCCATGAGAGTGGTATACGTGACAATGTCGGGGGGGGGGCATCCTCTCTTACCCATTTCTTTGAGTAAATCCAAGGCTTTTTTAACATGGCTAGTTTTGCAAAGTATGTTTATAACAGTGTTATATGTAATAATATCTGGGTGTAGGCCATTATGGTACATTTCCTCTAATAAGCCCAATGCCTCCTCTATTCTCCCATCCTTGCTAAGATCATCTATGAGTATGTTATATGTGACAATGCTGGGGCGACATCCTCTCTTCCCCATTTCTTTGCATAAAGACAAGGCTTTGTCCACATTATTGGCTTTGCAGAACATGTTTGTAATAGTTCTATACATAAAAACATCTGGGTTCACGCCATTGCGGTCCATGTCCTCTAACAAAGTCAATGCCTCCTCTGTTCTCTCTTCTTTGCTAAGCCCATCTATGAGCGTAGTATACGTGACAATGTCAGGGTAACATCCTCTGTTTCACATTTCTTTGCATAAAGACAAAGCTGTGTCCACGTTATTTGCTTTGCAAAACATGTTAATAAGAGTGTTATATGTAATAACGTTAGGGTCTAAGCCATTACAGTTCCTGTCCTCCAACAAAGACATTGCCTCGTCAATTCTCCCTTCCTTGCTAAAACCACCTATAAGGGTAGTATATGTGACAGTGTTCGGGCGACATTCTCTGTTCCACATTTCTTTACATAAAGACAAGGCTTTGTCCACATTTTTCGCTTTGCAAAGCATGTTTATAAGACTGTTATATGATCGAACATCTGGTTTTAAGCCCTTAAGATGCATTTCCTCAAAGAAAGCCATTGCCTCCTTTGTTCTCCCTTCCATGCTAAGACCATGGACGAGTATGTTATATGTAGCGTTTTTGGGGCGGCAAGATACTCTCTGTCCCATTTCTTTGCATAAATACAAGGCCTTGTCCACATTGTTGGCTTTGCAAAGCATGTTTATGAGATTGTTATACATAACAATATCTGGGTTCAAGCCATTGCAGCCCATGTCCTCTAACAAAGACATTGCCTTGTCTGTTCTCCCTTCCTTGCCAAGACCATCTACGAGCATGCGATACGTAACGACATCTGGCTGACAACATCTATTCTTCATTTCCTCGAGTAATGCCAAGGCACCATCTAGATCATTAGCCTTGCACAAGCCATCCATGAGAGTACCATATGTAACAACAGTCGGCAAAAGTTTCTGGTTTTCCATATCACGAAACAGCTCCATAGCCCTCGCAACTCGCCCTTCCTTGCACAATCCTTTCATCACCATTGTCAATAGAATAACATTGAGATGGTAACCCATCTTGTGAATAAGACCAATAACTCCAATTGCAAAATTGGCTTTTCGGGTGTGGCAAAAACAATTGATTATGGTGTGTGCCATACGAAAATTAGGAGAAACCCAGATTCAACCATTGTTTTATAGAGAGACAAAGCCAATTCTTGTTGTCCAAATCTAAACAAGGATTCCATTACGAAGTTGCAGGTGAAAAGAGAGGGGGTGGAGTCGCAGAGCATACCTTTGAAGAGAGAGACCGCCTCTCTCAACCCAACATCCCCTTTTCCACAGCACGACCGAATGCGCCTCTCCAACTCTAACCCTTGTTGCAATTTAGGTTCAGAAGAATGTGAGCTCCGCCTCCTTCTATCAACAACCGAGGAAAAAGAAGCGCAAAAGGCAGAGTGAAGAGAGAGAAAATAGGAAGGTAGGTGGTGATAGAAGAGCCTACAATGTAAGGGGGATGGGCATAACAAGCCATGGTGGTTCAACAGGGATGAGGAAATAATACCTCTGTATCTCATCTCATTTTACCTTCAAAAGAAGATCACAGAAAGGGTAGAAGAAACTCAGTTCATCAAACAATTATATACATTTGTAGAGAGAGAAAGAGAGATATATGTAGAGAGAGAGAAAGAGAGAGGCAAATCAACAGAAGGTCACCATCCCAAATCGCATGACCCTTTCCCTACAGCACAGTTGTTGGGGGACTCTGCGAAGTGTACTCCCGCGGGAGCACAACGTCCTCCCGCGATAGCATATATCTTTTAACGAGCGTATATGCTCTGCTCCTTCGGCTGAATTAAGTGCATCTACTCCCGCAGTAAGAAGACCTACTGGGGACGATTTTTTTCAATATGAATTTCGAGATCACATAAGAGTTCGCAAATAGGTTATTTTCAAATAAAAAATTTGAATTTTGAGCTTGTTAACACCTGTCACCCTCAAAAAATTGGACGGCCTTTGAAATATTAAGATGTCACTTCTTCAAAGGATTTTGTATAATACAAGACCATTCACTTTTAGTAAAAGACAATATCTTAGCCATGAAATGTGAAATTCCATCGTTTGAAGTATGTCATAGTATTCAATAAATTTTATTTTGGACTTTATGCCTAGTCATAACACATCTCAAACCACGTGACTTTCATTTAATGCTCAATAATATTGTGATGTCTCTATAACAAAAATAAATAGTCTTATGGTATATATTTCCTTTATAATGACATATTGGACGTTTCGAAAAGATGCATTGCCTGATTTAATCAACTAAAAACAATGTTTTAAGAAACCCCAAGACTCCAAGTGACGATAACATATTCAGGGTCAAATTCGTTCATGCATTCCATATCATAGAAACACATGTCTTTCTTATATCATATACTAAAAACGGACAAGTTCTAGAGGTTTAATCCTATGTTACAATTTACATCAACCTCACTTAGGCTAAATACCTTTGATTCGGGTCATGAAATCTATACATTCGATTCTAAAAAAGAAAATACGCAGTCATACATAAATGGAAACAATACCATGGGTATATGGCCCGTATACCTTAACTTAAACGTAAGGGTACTGTAGTATGACTTGTTCTTCTTCGATATTAGGCTTCAAGTGGGCTTGAAAAACTATAATCTCTCTCTATATATCACATATGGCTCAGGAAACAGTCATAGAAGTGATTGGTTCTGGCGATACAGTCACTTTCTATCTCTATCTCTCATACTATCACATTGATTCAATCCTCTCAATTCAAAGGAATCGAACACATCTCTTCATCAAAGAATGAGATTTACATAGATTTATTAACTCTTAACTACAAAATCTTCAGTCCTTATCCATCTACTGGTCTGCATCCTCAAAATTATGAAGTGATAAGCGCAAAAAGTGCAATCATCACATATATTTTGAGCGTATGTCTTCATCTTCTTAATCTAATCTTCAAAGTGATAAGTATATGTTTCAAATGCTCATACAGGTTTCTACTGATGATGATCACACATCTCAATCAATTCTCATCCTCAATTTAAATTCACGAATCCCAAATTCAATAGATTTATCACGTGAGCAAAATCAGGGATTTTGTTATCTCTGATCGAGCATAAGTTCAGCTTCTACAACACAGTCCTAACATGTCATCGTATTTCTTCAATTGATTTTAGATGGTAGATCCATTAATCATGAAATTTAGAGGGATGAAATAGGACTCAGAGATAAACACAACAATCCAAGTTTCACTTAAAATGGATCGTGGATGAGAGAGATCTCATCCGTCAAAGTTAACCTATTTCTATTGGAAATTGTGTCACTGGTGCAACCGCTTCTTAATGGAAAATCCTTTGAATTTGAAATTCGGTAAGCTGAAATAGGGCGAAAATTGTGTCAGCAGAACCAGTATGATACCAGTAGATTGCTAGTGCAATCGTTTCTTAATGGAAAATCCTTTGAATTTGAAATTTGGTAAGCTAAAATAGGGCTCAAATACGAACGCAAAAGTCTAGTTTCACTTTAAATGGATCACGGATGAGAGAGATCTCATCTGTCCAAATTAACCTAATTTTGTTGGAAAATGTGTCAGAAAGACCAGTGGATTGCAGGTGCAACCACTTTCAAATGATAAATCCTTTGACCATGAAATTTGGTAAGATGATAGATAACTCATATATCAACACAATTGTCCAAATCTTCCCTCAAGTGGATCTCATACGAGAAAGATATGGTCCGTCCAAGTTACTCGGTTTTTGCTGAAAACTGCATCAGCATAACCTGTGGATTGCGGATGCAACCGCTTCAAATGTACAAGTCAATAAATGCTGCACCTTTTAAGGATGATAAAGCATTGAATCACGAAATCCAATGGTCTTAATTCCATGAGAAAATTCCTCATATTGTTGGAGAAATCCTAATTTTAGTTACCAAGTGTGATCCTAGCTGTAACGCACAGCGGATGAAGCTTTTAAGGCTCAAACTACTGGGCGATATGGATGATGAGTTAAGCCACCTCCGATTGATATGAAACTTCAAGGAGAAGATTATAATGCCTCAAACATGGATCCTTGAGAGTCTTATCTTAATTCCAAAGCATGAAGTTCTAAAGGTGTCAGTCAAGGCATATATTAACTGACATGAATATGGACATTGGTTAACCAAGTCCAAATATTGTCCAAGTTCTATCACTCTTGGACTTTAAAGCATATGAGGCCTTACACATATATATCTTCAGGGATTTACATAAATATAACAACTTATGGCTAAGTTTCCCTTATGCTCCATCTGTTAAAACCCTATATTCTTAACTGACAGGTTAAAAGAGTCATATCACATCTCGTCCAAAACTCCTCTAATATCCAGTGGAGAGGCATTCATGTGCCATGGAAGTATATGTATCCCAGATTTTCGTCTCAAATTAAAACATTTTTATGATCTCTTGTAGTAAACCGTAAGTTAGGATGCATATATATAACTAATGATGGATTCAAGAAAATATGTATATCAAATTGCATCAGGCTCCTCCACATATCACATGGATAGACTTATAAGGCCTTAAGAGTCTATGTATTTTAGAACTTGTCTCACAATAAGATGACTTTCATATCTTCTATCATCAACCATAAGTTAAACTTGAACATGTGTAACTAACGAACTATCGGTATCTTATCTTTCATCTATCGTAAGTCAGGACATATAGGGGCTGATTGACGAGTTAGGTTCCAAAAGGCATATTGGGGCTTCATATCATGAATCTTGAGCATATCATATGTTCATATCATTGGGCATATCTTAGCAGGTGTTATCAAGAACCGTACTCGTATCTTATTGACCGTCTGTTAAGACAATTATCCAGCGTTCATCATTGACTTTATTGTATATTTGTCATCTTCAATCTATCAAGAGTTTGTTAGAACACACTTAATCTCATATGTAACAAAAAACACACCCAACATATACAGAAACCAATTTGTAAATTTTCTTTTTTTGAGGTTAGTATGTGGTTTTACATCCCTAAAATTTTGCGTCATAAAATTACTCCTACATTGGTCTTTGCCTCATGGAGTAAATGTACAATGCACTCAGGTAGGACTAAGAAATCTTTTTGGTTTTTAAAACAGTTAATTGAAGTGCTCTCCTCTACTGACAAAGGGACTCAATTGTACGGGTGCAATGTGATCATAGACTTGGGACTCGATAGGAAGACCTGACCTATACCCTTGTATGAGTTCAAGATTTGGACCAAGCGGGTAGGGTTTAGGTCCAAATTTTGGACCCTATTTGGGTATAAATCCAGGTTTATGTGGATTCGACTAGGACCCAGCCAAATTTTACTAACTTATTTTAAAGAAAAAATATAAAAAAAAATCCCTTTATTTTGAAGTCATTAGAAATAAACACTAAAATTTTCAAAACCTCATTCATACCGCTTTTCACTACTGTTGTATTTTTTTATTAAAATACTATTCATGGTTTTCTCAGGTCTCTGAAGGCATCACAGTCCACTCAAACCTATGATGGTTATAGAGGGTTCAAACCCTGGTCGTGTTGGATTTAAGTCATCATGCAAAGTTTGCATTTGAATCATCATGGTACATACATGACCATGATGGTAGGCTACATTATAATAGTTAATAAAAAATTGTGACGCAAACCACAACAGTCGCACCACCGTGATAACCCTTTCACGTACCTTAAATTATTATAATTACATTATAATCGTGATAGTTAGATAGCCCAATCACATATGAAGGAGTGTTGTAATGGCTAACTAAGTGCCACAACCATCAAGGTTTTGTAAGTGTTGTGATTGTCCAAATAGTAACCTACCTTCATGGTTTAGCCATAACTGTGAGGACTTAAACCCCAAACCAAGAGGGCTTGAACCCTCTACAACCATCACGGCTATGGGTTAACCGTGATGCCTTCACGGAGCAACGAATACCATGAAAGGTAATTTAGTCAAAAAATACAAATAATGGTGGAAATGATATGAATGAGGTTTTGAAAAATTTAAGGTTTGTTTTTAATATCCTAAAACTAAAGAATATTTTTTATAATTTCTATATTTAAATATAATACTACCTTTACTCACACACAAACTCTCTCTACCTCTCTCTATTTTTGATTTTTGGGTCAGCTTCAAGTTCCTTCTAAATAATTCGGGTCCAGTTCGGGTTCGGTCGGACCCCGACCCAACCCGACCAGTTCAACGGGCCTATCCGGCTAGCTTTTTTTAAGAACTTATCAAACAATTTTCTCATGGCTCGTGTGTAATGGTATGCACTATATCTCTATAGGCACAGTTTCTATGCGTCCAGCTCGCATGTAGAAATGCAGGCTTGGCAATAAATATATTTTTTAAATATAATTTGATCTTAATTTGTAGAGAATATATAATGTTTAACATGGAAATCATGAATATGAAAAAAATAAATAAATTGAAGACTTGAAATAATAATTATATTAAGAAAATATTTTGACCATTAGTTATGCTTGTTGTTAGATGGACGATCTATTTGCATTCATCTTTAAAATGGATGCTTTATACCTCTAGACCACATATTGTAGAAATGCAGTTCAGCCCCTGCATGAAACAATTTTCCAATCTCTATTTCATAGGGTATGTGTGGATAACAAAGCATAACACAATTTCTTCCCCCTTTTTTTTTTTTGATAAATGGTTAGCAAATATTATTGCAACATCAAATAACTTGCAAATCACTACAAAACCAAGTTGGAAAAGAACCTAGGCTTAATTAGTTAGCGCT